GAGGAGGCGGGGCGGGGGTGGGCGGGGAGGTGGAGGGGAGGCAGGAGGGGCAGGCACATTTGCTGTGACTTTATAGGAACAGATCATAATTTCTGCCTGACTTTTTTGCTCTTTTATTTCTCTAAAACTGTTTCTATACGGTACCAATCCTTCTTGCACTGTTTGCTTTAGTTCCAGTGCCCACATCACAGAAGGGTCCAAGGCGTAAAAGTCAGGAGCGACGTCGAGCCATCAGAACCCTCCCGCCAGGTGGCCGCCAGGTGCTCTTCTCCTGCATCTTGTCCTCGTCACTGGCTGTGGTTCAGAGGCTCTCAACTCCACCCATTCGTCTTCTGTCAGCTCCTCTCACCCGGTGCCTACTAGCTCTTGCCTTTTTTCTCCAAGATCCGTACTTTGAAAGCCTTCACCCTACCTTTTTTTTAACCATATTTACAATCTCTTTCACGATTTCCTTGATTGGCTCCGACGTAAATCCTGTGAAGTCATGCACAGCATCTGGACGCTTTTCCCCAGCAGGACTGTACTGCTTCTGGCGTGGTGGTTTTCAGGGCTCTTTCGATAACAGCTGTGGCATCATCCATGGTAGGATCCTCCCAGACTCTCACGATGTTCTCTCTGCTGGGTTCTCTGACACCACAGTGACAAGCCTTTCCACGGAGCACCACGTGTCAGAACCTGAAAGGTCCCTATGGCGCGCCCTGATCTAGAGGCTGAATTAGAGATGTGTTTCGTGAGCCAGCAGACCACTTCTACGCCTTTGGTGTTGAACTCGTGGGTTTCTGGGTGGCTAAGGGCATTGCCAATATCCAAAGAGCTGTAAAGGCCATCCCTTGCCAACAAGGTGTCTGCTGAGGTCAAGGACAAGGCATCGATGGAACCAATCCAGAAAAAGGGCTCTCACCGCCCAGGCCTTCTTGTTGTCCAACCAGAGACAGACATCTGGCGTTTACCTTTCCCCTAGAGGCTGGGGTGAGCAGCTTTCTAGATGAGGGCAGTCCTGCCCATACACACCCAGCTGCACTCCTGTCCCCTCCTGCTTGAATACTGGTGCTCACTTCTCCTCGTCACTAAACAATGTCCTCTGTGGCAGTTCTTCCCCGGAATGGGGCACTTTCGCCTGCATTAGAAACCTGTTCAGGCAGATGTCCGTCTTCTCCTCAGAGGCGTTCGTGACGGCGTCCGGGAGCCCGCGTGCGGCCTGCGGGTGGGCGGCTGCTGCTCCCGCTGCGCCCGGACCACCCGGAGCCGCTCTTCGTCCTACGCTATCATCACGCGCTTTGCTGGCATTACAGCTTCTTCAGCGGCTGGCCCTTCACCTCCCGTTTGCTTCGTCACGTAAGATACGGAGCCTCAGGTATAACACACTATTTGGAACAAACTGGAAATAAACCGTAGGGCTCTCTTGACAATTTTAAGGCTCTCCTGAAAACTCTTGACAACTTTTAAAGCAACATATGGTTACTGGACGGTTTAATTCTTTTTTTACGACCAGTAAGAGAAGGTAAATTTGAAAGTACGTAAAAGGGAAATGCAAACCTTTAACAAAATATACGGATATATTTCCTGAGTTTGAAAATTTTTTAGAAAAAGTAAATTAACTGAAAACGTACCTGGCTTTTGTACACATAAAATATGTAAACTTAAAATATTATGTTATGAAAATAATACATCACAGTTTCTTACTAATTTCCAATGACATCAATGTCATTGGAAATTAAACATTTAGAGAATTAATAAAACATGCATAGAAGAAAAAAAAGTTGTCATATAGAAAGACTACTTTTTCTCAAATCATATTAGAGTCTATAGATATGCCTTTCTTACAGTAATCCTGCACGCATTTTCAATATGAAATAAAAAGGTACGTCACAAAATGTACAAGGTTTCTTTGCCTGCTGGTGTAGCTGCTGCCACAGCTTCACAAATTTCCTTTTCTTATTTTTTTTCTTTACAACGGTCCTCACGGTGGATTCACTTGTCTTGAAGTGGCAGTAACCAGAGCTGCAGGTACACATCAAACAGCCCAACATTTTCTCGTAACGTCATGCCTTTTCTCTGCTTCTTGGGAGCACGTCCAGCATCACTTGCAGCACTTTGTGCTGGTCCCCGGTGTTAGCTAAGGTTCACGGGGTTGCACTAGAACAGGGAAAATACACAAGAAGCGCGAGCGATCACTTTTTACTGGATTCGCGGTTTCCCGGAGGGGACGTGTGCCCAGGCGGAGGTGATGAGGGTCACGCCTGTCTCAAGGGGGTCCACACCACACTGAACTCAGCGCAGGAGCAACAAGAGGCGGCTAAGAGATCGTTAAAGCAGGACAGCGTGCGCTACAGGCACCTGCACATTTGTTTCCATTTCTCCCAACTGTGAAGGGCGCCACACACCTTCTACAAGTGTTTCTGTAAGTTTTGATAAACTTTAACTTCTTATAATAGATCTGTGTATGCTTCTGACAGTTAAATGATAAAACAGACTAGGATCTATCAATACGTATATTTTACGCACTCATGACATACCTTTTTCTTAATTTTTTCAGTATTTCTAGGTTACGCGGTTTACCTGCAAGTTTTTTCTAATTGTTATAAATCTCCAAAAAGTTTGGCAATGTATTTCTTGAAAAATATCTGCATAAGTGGACCCGCACAGCTCAAACCTGCATTGTTCAAGGGTCAACTGTACTTTGATTTTACCCTATTATCACTGCTTCTTCAGAAAAACAATGTAATAAACCCTGCCCATTAAGCAAAACAGAATCCAACCAACCAACACACAAGAGCACAAGTGAGGCTCTCAGGAATGGAGTCCAGAACAGCTCAGAGCCAGCTCTAGCAAATCTCATCCCAGACAACGGATGACACCAAGAGCTCACTGTGACGTTAACCCTCACAACGCTCCTGAGAGCAAATACGGTCACCTCTCCATAGTCACCACAAGGAGAAATTAACATCCAACCCGCGATCTCACCCAGGTAAAGTGCTGCCAGGTGGTGGCACGGCGGAAAGAGCGGGCGTGGCATCACCACGCCAGGACCCGTGTCACCCTGCTTGCTTAGCTTCCTACTGCAAAAAGAAGTCACTCAACTTCTCTGAGCTCCACCAGGTCAGTTCACTTGCCAGATGGGACGAAACCCACACTTTAGAAAACTGTTCTGAGATGATATGAGATACAAGAACCCATAAAGAATGGATCTGCTTTAATGACTAGATGATGTGTGGAATAATCCTATTAATTGATTATATGTAAATGATCAGCCAACGAAGCACTTCAAACCAATCTTCCATAAGTAAATTACAACATTCTGAGATGATATTTAATTTTATAATTTGCATAGCAAAATACCAAACAATTTTGACATATGGTTTAAAAACTCTTATTAGGAAGGCCTGACTGAGAGAACACTTGTAAAGATTTAAGGCATTATAACATAAATATTGTAAGATTTTCCCAAAATCTTTAAACTCAATGAGATCATCAGCCTGCACAACTAGAGAGCTGGAGTGTGATTAACTTTTAAATCATTTTTAAGCTTAAGGATTCATTAGGAACTTTGGGGCTTATTATCACTGAGCAGTAATGTCTTAATCTCCATGAAATAAGGTTAACTGAAAATCGCTGCTAAGCACATGTTCTCATTTTGGCTGAAGAGCTCACGGACATACACTAGCCTGCAGGAAGCAGGACCTGCAGGAAGCCCAAGTCCACCAAGTGCAGAACCGGGTCGGCTGTGAACGTCCACGCCCTGCGCGGTGACCCAGCCTGGGAGACACAGCTCCCAAGACCCGGCTCACGCCCTGCATCTGAGGAAGCCCTCCAGCATCAAGCACATCTCAGCTCTTCTCTGAACACTCTGCCAGCCGTCTACCAACTTATGACTCCGTTAGAGCTCTTGTTTTTCTTGTTTTCAATCACAGATTCAACAAACATCTACTGAGCACTAGCTAGCTGGGTGGGAGGAACAAGGATTCAGGATCCCATCTTAGACCGTGAGGGCCTCAGTCAAGTGGGAGACACAGGCACAGAAACTGTTAACACAGTAACACATAACACAATACAACAGCTACTATAATTGATTATGAAGGACTGTAGATCCCAAAGGAGGCAGAACTTTTTTTTTCCCAAAATATATGTTAGACTAGGTGTCAGAATACCTGATTTCTGCCCCACGCATACAAAAAGTTTTGAAAACATGACATCCTAGGCAACAGTAACCTGGTACAGAGGAGAGCTCACAGCCTGTGTCAGACTTGAGTTAAAACTCTGTCTCAGTCTGTGATACTTGACCTCAGAGGGCAATGGCACAGATTAAACGACAAAACTAAGCTGAGTTAAAGACAAAAATTCTGCACACAAAACCCGGAACAGAGTAAGGGAACCAGTGACGTTAGCGTTCCTCCACTGTTCCACAAAATGAAAGAGAAGTATTCAAAATGAGAGGTTTTGCTTTCCTAGAAGAAAATGAAATTACTCCCCCGGAAGAAAAGGCAACCGTTATTCTGTATCTGACAACCTGCCAGCACCTCCCAAAGACGTGAGCTGGAGCCTGCCAGGCTTTCGTTTTTAATACCTGCATTGATATAACACTGATTTAATGTGATATCATGGATACCATATTGTGAAGTTAAAATTATTAATATATATATTAATAACACTAAAACTTTTAACACTGGGTGTCAAAGATTAACATAAGACAAAATGTGTCACTGACCTCTAAATGCTGTCCAAATTATTGTTACAATATAATTCTCTTTTATCTAATAGCAGTGTCATTGAAGCACACTTAACTTTGATAAAGAAATTTGGATTGCAATGGTGTTTATATTAGTGTATTTAACTTGGCTTACAATATATGATGTTTACGTAAAATAGACTGTTATATACGACATTTTTAGAATCACAGCTTTTTTGTCAACTAAATTTTAGAGACAGACATTCGGGGGAAAGAAGAGCTCTTTCCTTAAAAACAAATCAATATTTGAAAGGCTTCTGTAGCAATAATTATTTGTTAATCTTAGAATTATTATTTGATAATATACATCCCCCAAATTTGACCTACTACATTTGTTTTGAACAGTCATTACAGAACAAGATAATCAACACTAATTGTTTAATGATCACCTTTTTCTATAATCCCCCAGCCTCCCCCTGCCATATGTACACATACAGAGAATTATATATACCATTTTCTGGGGAAAGTTTGTCATAAGCATCTTCATAAATATAATTTCTTCTTATTGTGACATTAATTCCATCCAGAAATGGACCATCTCCTTGAACTTCTTGCTTATCTGCATAAATCAACCTTTGAAAGATCTAACAGAGGGGAAATTGTAAGGTTACTTGAAAACAACAGATTTTTCGTTATAAACATAAGCAACCAAAAGGAAAAACCGCTGAATAAACCTTCACTTTACCTTCTGTATCTCCATAAACTCTGAAACACATTTTAAAGGCCAAGGCATCAGACACTGATTTTATGCCTTATCAGTAAACGTGCACTATTTATATATTTGTAATATTGTTCCTTTTCCCCACTTTACAACAAATTTTAAAAATCCCATGCTAATGTCATATTTTCAATATCTCCTTTTGGAAACCTTTTATAAAACTCCAGATGGTGGAGGGAAGACGAGTAGCTTTGGAAAGCTGTACATTAATATTAGTAGTAATATCTCTATAGTGATAAAATTCAAGTAATTTTTTATATGCTAAAAATCCAGTAGAGGGCACTCAGGAATTACGCAACACCACGTGTATATGTGAGTGTGTATGTGTTTTAATGAAGAAATGTCAATAGCTTTAAATGTTCATCCTGTGAAAAGAGTAGGCAGACCTAAAAAACACCCTCTTGAAGCCAGAAGTGTAGTAGTTTTTAGAAATTGCTAAATAAGTTGGTGAATACAAACAAAACATTTTTTCAAGACGTATTTGACTGGATTACGCTTTTATAAATCATGGTCAACTATTAATAATCTAATGAGAAAAACAAATTATTTAATGAGATAGGCACTAGGCAACTTTAGAGATTTTTTCCATTGGTGTTACTTTTTTTTTTTTTTTTTTTTTTTTTGCGGTACGCGGGCCTCTCACTGTTGTGGCCTCTCCCGTTGTGGAGCATGGGCTCCGGATGCGCAGGCTCAGCGGCCATCACTGTTGGTGGCCTCTCCCTGTTGTGGCCTCTCCCGTCGCGAAGCACAGGCTCCGGACGCGCAGGCTCAGCGGCCATGGCTCACGGGCCCAGCCGCTCCGCGGCATGTGGGATCTTCCGGGACCGGGGCACGAACCTGTGTCCCCTACATCGGCAGGCGGACTCTCAACCACTGCGCCACCAGGGAAGCCTGGTGCTACTTTTTAACTCTGAGATGATATAAATAACTACAAAACACATGGAAAGAAACCAAATTCCATACCTTTACTCGCTCCTCAAACGGAACCACAAAGGGCAACTCTGTTAGGATGGCAAGCTGTCTTTCCTCAGACACAGACAGTGGCGGGGACTCCAGACCTACTGCAACACAGTTTAAAACCTTCGTTACTGTGTGTACCTTCCTTTCCAGACTCACAAGGCTACACTCTGTATGGTTCAATTTAAAGACATTCTGGAAAAAGCTGAACTATATACAGGGACAAAAAACCCAACCTGTGGTTGCCAGGGGCCAGGGTAAGGAGCTGGCTACCAAGGCGTGAGGCGTTTTCTGGAACGAGGAAGCTCCTCTCCTCTACCTGGCCGATCACAGTCAAAAATCACAGACCAGTAGACTAAAGAGAGAACTTCGCAGTACGTGAACTACACCTCAGTAAACCCCAGGGAGCTCACCGTCCAGGGTGGACCGCAGGGGGCCGATCCTCCCCATTCGCCTGAACCTCCAAGCACTTCTGGACGCCGGGACGTAGAGCTGGGTGACCTGTGGGGACCAGACAGCCTGCTTAGTCAGCCCTTCCCTGTGTCCCAGCACACACTTCTACGTTGCCTCATCTGAGATGCATCCGTGTTTCACATTTATTTACTTACATCCCTCTCTTCCATCTCCTGTCCTTTTCAGGAGATCTTTTCATAACCTCTCTCCTATGCTGGCTGCTCTTTTACACTTTTACACTGTAATTATTTTTTCTAAATACATTCCAGGGAAATCTCTACTTGTTCTAGTTAACGATGTGTAATATCTGGACATAGTAAATCATCATAATATGACTGCTTTACGAAGAAAACCACATCACCCTTAAAAAATTAATTTCTCACTATTACCAAATATTCACTCTCATAATTTTTTAAAAAATTGTCTGAATGAGCATCCAAATAAGGCTGGTATAGTATACTGTCTCTGAATCCCTTTCATCTGTCAGGTCCCTTCAGCCCTCGTTTCTGCCCTTGCGACTCTGATGAGGAAGCAGAAGCCTCTGTCCCGTCATCCTCCCCACCGTGTGGATTCTGCTAATTTTGCAGCATCACGGTGTCAACATGTACTTCTAGCCCCTCCACCTCCTATAAATTTGTCATTTTTACACCTGGAAGTTCCACCAGGCTTGGTCTCTGGGAGAAACACTTTGGAGGTGGATGGTGTTCTCTCCTCGAGAGGCACGCGTGCTCAGCACCGCTGGTCGCAGGTCAGCGATGAGAGCAAGAACCGGTGGGAAAGTAGCAGCCAACTGTCAACAGGCACCAGACACACTGCTTGGCTCAGCTGACAGTCTCCCTGGAGCACAGCAGCAGCACACACCCTCGCCTCCCAGGCCTCCGGCCCTCGTCTCCACTGTACTCTTCAGCGGGGGGCCGACACCGAACTTCAGCAGAGCAGGCAGGCTAGACACCGTCTTCACGTGCTGTCAGCTGGAACACTTCCACGTCGAGAAGGCTCTCACAGCAGCGACTCCACGGTCAGCGCACGAACAGTTCACAAAGGAAAGGCGGGCTAAAGGAGTGATGACTTCCTGCTTCCTACCAGTGTTTAAAACGAGGGTGGTTCCTTTGCATCCCACAAAGATGGCTAATGAAGTTCTTCTTTTTAGCATCCTTATGAACTCACAGATTCAAACACGCCTGACGGTTAGTCCTCGGCACCTACGCTGCTGGCGCTCGCCTCCACCTCTGGCTGCTAGAGCCTTCTGAGGCGGCCCCCGGCCCTCACACAACCTCCCGCGGCCCCAGCTCTCAGGTGGAAGAACACGCCACCGTCTCGCGCACTTCTTCCCTGGACCTGCCACGAACCACTGTGCCGAGGACCCTTTCTTTTCGGTGGGAAATGTTCAGAAACCCCAACATGGGCCCCAGAGGCTTGCACTGCTACAGGACCTGCCACAGCATTTCAGCCTGGCCAGTGGGGAGAGCTCCAGCCACATGCTTAACTCAAAGAGACAATACTCCATGCAGACAAAGCGATGCTTCTAAAACAGCCCTGTTTTCTTTAACATCTCTGTGATCTTGTTTGCTCCGTACCCACCACCCTGTGCCCCCAGCCTCAAGTTTCTAAGATGAATCCAGTCATGCGTTTCTCTGACAAACAACAATGAAAACACCTCATGTCCTTTGTTAATGTTATCTTAATTTATTTTGAAATAGATTATACTATTTAATCTACTTTAGATCTAGATCTTAGTAATATTCACATTTCTCTCTGTCCCTTTAGAAAACCAGAAGTACGTTCCATCTCTTAAGTGCTAAATATATACTGAAAATAACAATAAAAGCAAAAAATTTTTCTCAACCCCCCAAAACCCCATTATGCTTCAATATACTTTGTGGTTAAGAGCAAATCAGGATTAACAACAAATGCAGGATGCATGTGGAAGCCAACGATATTGCTCTACGTTCTATACTAGGTGACCTAAGAGTTAGTAACACAAAAGTTTACTGTTAATGTTTAGTTACATAATACGTTAAACAACTTTAAAGGATTTATTCTTCTCCCCCAAAAGATAAAATCTGAAAAAATACGTTTAATGAAAAATATTTAGAAGATTTAAAAGTGACACCTTATCTGCTTTAATATCTTCTTGCTCTGACAGCCAGTGATTGGGAGGACAAAACTTTCTCCTCGCGTCTCTGGACTTCAACATTTTCACTAGGTTGGTGATAACCTGAGAGGGAGAACAGGAACACGTCACACGCAGGCTCGGGAACTACGGCAACACTTCCGGTCAGGAGTGAGAGGCCACGGCACCGCTTGAGCGCCGTGCCCGAGGACGCGGGCTTCCGTGGTGAAGAGCTGGCTAGACCACCACCAGGTCTGTCTGAAGAAAAGCGCCTCGTTCTGTGATTACAGGAGTTAGCTTTAGGTACAAAGCGGTTAATATCTACCGGCAAAGAGAGAAAAATTATTTACACAAATGTGTGCAAGGGCTGATTTCTTAAAAACTGCAAGGGAGGCAGTAATTAAGTTTTAAAACACAAATGGGGAAATGTATTAGCCCATTTGAGCCATAATAAAAGACATCTCCAAGTACAGCAATTTCCCTAAGGTAAAACACATTTCTTATTTTTCTGAAAAACACTCTATTCAAGGCTGCTGGCAGCAGGGGAGGGGTGGGGGGTGAAAAGCAGTGTCCTAGACATACCTGTCAACCTTCCAAAAAGAAAGACGATTTCAGTATTTCCCTTACCCAAGCCTCTGGAATTAGGTCTGCGTCCCAGTACAATTCCACGCAAACTCAGCATAACGTCCTTCAGAAAGCCGCCCCACACGCTCTGGCTACCCGCCCGCCCCCGCCCGCGTTATCATAGCCTAGTCCTTCACTGCTGTTTTCCCGGTGAGCATCAGCCCCTCTCTGGCTGTGCGGTAAGCCCCCCATGAACAGAACCCAAGTACCTACCTAGAAATCTAGTAGGTACCTGATGATGGACAATTGTATAATAAATTCTGTGATGTACGATTAAAGAGATCTTAATGGTCCTGTCTATTTAAAAAAGACATGAAGTTATACATTAAATAGAAATGTGTTTTGTAATAAACAAAGATAAACCAACACAAAGTTGTAAAACCAAAGTTTTAAACCTTTACAACCAGGAGTTGATCAGACAACTACTATGAAGGTGACTATGATGGTATTTTCTGAAAAAGTCAGCCAGGCTTTCTGTACACACTGCCTCCAATTCAGTAAAATATAATTTGAATAAAGAACTAGGAAATGTCATTGTGTGTCCAACGAAAGTGGGTAAGAAAGGGTCCTTGGTTGATATCTCAGGCCACTATGATACCAACACCAGTTGGATGATCTGCCCAGTGACAGAGAAAAAGTAATGCTTGAGCGGTTTGGCCACCCAGACAAAACCACATTAGCAAAAACCTCTCAAGATCTAGAACACAGCTTGTACACTGGTGGATATATCTTGCCAATTTAGCTGTGATGCCTACCTTGTGGTACTTTAAAGACTATTGTGATACTGTGGTACTGTCCTTTTTGAATCAGCAGAAACTAGCATAGTTGCTAGTTTCAGTCTGTTGCTCAGGGGGTCAGGTTACACACATGCAATGTTTTAGGATGACTGATTTTAAGTGCAGCTGGGGTAGACTGAGAAAGGCCTAGTCTTTGGTTCTATCTGGTTAACTGCTGGTCATAAACAGAGTAAGGCCATTGACCTACGGCACCAACTCTGGGAAGCCTCTCGGTACTGCTCTTCAGAAGACAAGACGAGATCCCAATAAGTTCATTCCGTGTGCTCTCTGGGTCCGGGACAAATTCAGTCGGGTCCACACGGATCGCACCAACAGATGCTCTTTCAACAGTGGAGAGTGAAGTGCAGTCCTGGGGAAGGACGCACACTGTCTTCTCTCTCCTTTTACCTAACCAATTACAGCGGTACTTTGAGTAAATTTGGATTTAACAGACATTGTGCTGAAATTTACCCACAACACACCACAACTGTTGACAAAAGACGTGCTTTCTGACAAATGCTTATGTGTGTTTGTTTAATTGCACCCATTAACTTATGGCTCTCACACATCCCCCAGACTCTTGACACCATCCCCACTGCACACACTCAAGTTCACAGCTGCCTAACCACCAGGAGCAGGCTGTCATCCACCTCCTGGTATTCACCATGATCCGATCTATGCTGATGAGGACATTTCTTTTCTATAGGTCACAAACATTATCAAACTATCTAAGAGGTAATTAATGCCATAATTTACATTCCTCTTTTAAATTACTGTGAAATGAAACATAAAGCTTCAATATATGGCATTCCCTTTCATATTTTCATATTCTAAATATGAAAAAGTAACATAAAATGTCCTATCCTAGTATCACTGATCCTCTTTCAAAAATATAGGAGAGAAAGAGAGAGGTGGGAAGGGAGGCAAGGGGGCCGGGGGGGAGAAAGGAGGAAAGCAGAAGGTGCAAAGTGATGTGGGCCTGAGATACAGCAAGGAAGGGATGTCAACAGAAGGCACTGTGGAAAAAGCGGATCTTAACAAACTGAAGCTGACAGGAAAGAAAACTTGAAGACGAGCCCTGAATAGGACTCTGCCAGAGAAAATACAGGACACCTAGACAAAGCTGAATTCCAGATAAACGTCAAATGAAGTCTTTAGTATAAATATGACCCAAATATTGCTTTATTCAAAGTATATGTCTCAAATATTGTTTTTAAAAAGCATAAATGTATCCAAAATATTTCACAGGACATACTTGTATCTAAAATGCATTTGTTGTTTATCTGAAATCCAAATTTAACTGGGTGACACATATTTTTATGTGTTAAATCTGGCAATGTGAGCCCTGGACCAATTCCCCAAATATTTTAGAAATGTCAGATCCCCTAAGAACATTCTTCTCCTTTAAACTATTTTTCTTCTAAGTTTTAGAGAAAAATACAAATTTTAAGTAACCATGAAAAATTTAACTGGATCCATTCTGTGATTTCAGAACACCTTTAAACACATTCCCTTTCTCTGCATTCATTTTCAGTATCACAAACTGCTAGAAATATTTAGTACTGAAAAAGCAAAGTTTACATAGGTAACCATTAAAAAACCACATAAACTGACAAAAGAGTGTCACAGGTAAAGAAAATTGAAGTAACTATTTTACACTGGATCAATAGACATCAATAGAGACATCCGGTATTGAGATCAAAAGACAGTTTCTCTTTCAGTTAATTTTATCAAATCTCCTCGCACAGACATGCCTACTACAGAAGACAGGACCAGCACCGAGAGACCGGCAGGATTAACTTCAGTCCTGGGGTGCAAGTCTGCAAACTGAGATCAGAGGTTACTAATATCTGCCCAAAGGGAACTCACCGCACAGTCAGGCCTGTGGGTCAACACAGCTGCATTTCAGAACCTCCTGCTGACAAACACCCCAACGGGCACCACCAACAGCAACTGGAACTTAGTTCACCTGAGGTGAGCCCGTCAATAATTGTCAGCTGATCCCTAGGAGGTCGTGAAACACAGTGAGACTCGAGAACCAGTGTGTTAAGAAATATGAAATAAAACAGCAAACAAGCAGACACTGGGATAACTACATGTCCCTCACTCAGTACACAGTTTTGGCAGACTTTAACAGTTATAAATATAGTAGTATTATATTTTACGTGATACGTTTAACTCTTGTCTCCCATGTCATCTTCCTCCGCACTGGATCTAAACTTTAATACTCAAAAACTAACAAAACTGCTGAAGCAAATACTCAGAAATGCACAAAACTGTTATGCGTGTTTGATTATTCGCCACTGAAATAAAAAACAGGTGATACCAGGGAATTCCCTGGTAGTCCAGGGATCGGGACTCTGCGCTTTCACTGCTGAGGGCCAGGGTTCAATCCCTGGTCAGGGAACTAAGATCCCACAAGCCACGCAGACAAAAGAAAAACAACAAAAAACAGAACAGGTGACAGCTACAAGCAGGTTTCCCTTAACCCCAATGTTAAAAGGACCAAGCAGATGACTGATTAGAAGCACACAGATGACTCATAAAAATCACACCTGACAACGGTCCAAGTTAAAGATTTTAAATGTTCAACTATGATATTTCTGAATGGAGATCACTGATATTTAGCTTTATTACTGCAACAAAAAAATACATATAGTCCAAATTTTGAAAGGCAACTGTAATAATCTCTTTTTATCTTAAATCTGGTTATGTAAGTTCGAACATCTTAGGTAATTATTTTAAAACTTCAAAACAAAGCATAGGACACAGCACATAATTTATGGGTACCTAAGTGTGGTAAATGTGTGATGTGATAAATATACAGTAAAGAATTTTTTAGATTTTGATTTCATAATGAAAATATGTAAAAATGAAATACAGGGCTTCCCTGGTTAAGAATCCTCCTGCCAATGCAAAGGACACGGGTTCAAGCCCTGGTCTGGGAAGATCCCGTATGCCACGGAGCGACTAAGCCCACGCACCACAACTACTGAAGCCCGCAGGCCTAGAGCCCGTGCTCCGCAACATGAGAAACCACCGCAAATGAGAAGCCTGTGCACCACAACAAAGAGCGGCCCCCACTCACTGCAACTAGAGAAAGCCCACGCGCAGCAACAAAGACCCAACGCAGCCAAAAATAAATAAATAAATGTTTTTTTAAAAAAATGAAATACGGGCTTCCCTGGTGGCGCAGTGGTTGAGAGTCCGCCTGCCGATGCAGGGGGCACGGGTTCATGCCCTGGTCCGGGAAGATCCCACATGCCGCAGAGCAGCTGGGCCCGTAAGCCATGGCCACTGAGCCTGCGCGTCCGGAGCCTGTGCTCCACAACGGGAGAGGCCGCAACAGTGAGAGGCCCGCGTACCGAAAAAAAAAAAAAAAAAAGAAATACAAGAAAAACCAGTAAAGTACCAGCTCTTAAGATTATCATCTCATAAAAGGCCAGAATGACGATTTTCCTAGTGTAATCCAAAGTTCAGAATGACGTTAGCAGTTCTTTTTTCCATCCTGCGTACTCCTAGCTTTGTTCTAGCTCAACATCATCAGCTGAAAGTTTCTCTTTTTCATTATATAGTGATACTCAAGGAACAGGGACTCTGTCCGACTTCATTTATGATTCCCCAGCACAGGGTGGAGCCAATGTTCTCGGATAAACACCGTGGGTGTTTAAATAACTGACAGTGATGACACCCTAGCCTATAAAAGTCATTAAGTGTAAGGATTCCTGCTGTCAACATGACTATCTGTTAAAGTTGGTTTATTTCAAAAGTCAAAGTATTCTGCAGCATTTTTAAAACACTACAAAATTATTTCTTGAAGTCAAACACAGAGAAGGACATGGGGCAGCTCTGCCATCTCCAAGAGAGACTGGGTTCGCCTCAGTGGCCAACACTGACGGTTAACAGCGGCATGTTTCCATTACAACAAGGCATTGCTGTGGCTTTCACGGTTTACTTTTTTAAAGAGTCTTTTCAAAACTGAAAAATGCAAACCAACCACCGGGAAAGCAAAACTCCCTCGTACTGCAGCCCTGTCTGTCTGGCCGGTGCACACAGGTAAGGCAGGTGCGAGGCCTCCCTCCTGGTCCCTCCTTTCAGGCGGCTCCAGTTCAGTTTGGCAGCTGCACACAAAAGGCAAATCAAACAGCAGCTCCCATCGCCTCACAGGGCTAAAGCGATTATAGCTGTAAATTACACTTCAAGAGGAGTTTATAAATTTGATAAATGCATAAACTGTTTTAGCAGTGTCAATGCAGGGCTTGGAAACTGACCTCAATTCTTACAGTGACAAAGAAAGATGACTCCATCCACTTAAAAGTCTGTGTTCTGTGACCAGCCCCCAGGGCCCCTCTCAGAAATCAGTCTGAGAGGGGCCATCAGGAGGCTGAAAAATGAAAATGGTCTTGGTGGTTGAAGGAGTCGGCTCTCATCGTGTGCAACTCTGTCAGAATCAACAGAAGGCGGGAAGTCATTGGCAAAATGCTACTTTCTTTGGTTGATTCTACCTTGAATCCTTCAGCTAAAATTTGACACTGAAATATACATAAAATGCTAAACGTTTATTTTCATACTTTTCAGAGGGACAGTGGAGAGGAGCAGCTGAGTTCACTTGCTGCCTCCATCATCTACCAGCTATGTGACCTCATCTGCAAAATGGGGATAATCATAGTATCCTCCTCACAGAATTATTGCTTTACATGAACTAATATATGTGAAGCCCTTAGAATACTGTCTGAAACATAGCAACCACTGAGGGTTAAATTCTTATTATTTCATATTAAGGATAATTTCTTCTTAAAAGAAAAACTAATAGCAGCTGAATCCTTTCAAAGACTTGCCTTGATTTTGCTTTGTTTTGTTTTCTGGGCTCAGCTCAATAGCAGGCAGTAGAAAAAAAAAAATCTTTGTCAAAGAACAGGAATCTCAATCAGAAACTTGTCTTCAAACAAGTCTGTTCTAAACTTAGAAGATCTTTATAACAACTCAATTTCAAACCCCCAAAACAATCCTGTTCCAAAAAAGGTGAACTTTTACCCTAATTCTTTAAAAAACAACAACAACAACAACAAAAAACCCTCAATCCTTAATAAAGTAGTAATGAGTCATTTTGAGGCATAAGAAAAAATTCACTACAAAATTTTCATTTAATGGTTAAGCAAAATAAGATAGGACCAGGGAAAAAACACCTTATACAGCATTATTATTATTATTTTTTTTTTTTTTCCTGGTACGCAGGCCTCTCACTGTTGTGGCCTCTCCCCTTGCGGAGTACAGGCTCTGGACGCGCAGGCTCAGCGGCCATGGCGCACGGGCCTAGCCGCTCCGTGGCATGTGGGATCTTCCCGGACCGGGGCACGAACCCGTGTCCCCTGAATCGGCAGGCGGACCCTCAACCACTGCGCCACCAGGGAAGCCCTATACAGCATTATTAAATTCAGACGTTTCTGGGTCCTAAAGATAAGCCTGTCATATGAAAATTATGAAATTCTGTATAGGTGCTATAAAGTAATGAAATTATCTGACACTGTACACAAAACCTGATAACATACATAATGGAAAGTTTTACTAACAAAGATCCCAGAGTTTAATTAAATACTTAAAAGAAAAACATACATGATACCATTAATACCCATATCCAGGAAAAGCTTACATAAGAATTACAAGTTTTAAATGGGCAATATAGCTTATTTTTAACTTAGAAAAGATGCATAAGTGTCAGTCTTTAAGCAAGGATATATTAAAGGGCTCAACAAGTGACCCTAAAAGTTTACTTAGAAATACAGAGATAGGTAATTAAAATAAATTGTGCAAACATATATTACATCAATCTGCACAAATTATAAATTCAGTGATGCATTAGCACTGTATTCAGTGCAATCAAAACATTATCAGTTACTCTCACTGCTACTAATGCTCGTGCTCATAAGTGAAATGTGTTGTAAAATCGGGCAGAATGGGCTGGACAGAGCCTATCGTGTGCTCCTAGGATGAATAAGCAGTCCGTAATTAGCCCATCAGGTTAAGTGCAAGCATTAATGGGCCTTTCCTAAAGTCTAGCTTGACATCTTTCTCCAAACATGGCCAAGAAGAAAGTTCCATTAGCAATATTAATACAAGCTTAGTTGATCATTTTCATTCAATTAACTTCTTTCAATTAAATAGATAGCTTGACAAAAGCAGTGATAAAAGACCTAAAGGGACAGCTGATGACTCGAACTGAACATTAGCGTGCGAGAGGTCGCTAGTATTAAACGGACTGTAAATCTAGCATTCAATTTGGAAAATGCATTTCTTCTGCTCTCACTCCTTTAATGAGCGATTTTAGCTGACTAGATGTGTTTGCCGCAGAAATTTCATGGGAAGTCAAGCACCCTGTTTCTTTTCTTTTTTTCTGCCCCAGTAGTTCTATTCTCAGTGGTGGTGGTTTCCTGCCAACATTCCAGCCAGGGTAACTCATAACTTCTCTTTCTGCATGGTTAAAAATGAAGATATTTTAAAATAATTTATATTCAACTTGCATTAAGTTAATGATCTTATTCTACCTTTGTTACTCAATTTCTTAAAAGATTAAATACATAAAATCTTTAAGAGATTTTTAGTGAAAAATAAAACTGAAAACATTAAAAAAATTTTAACTATACATCACCTTGTCATTGGAAGTACTTGGGGCAATTTATAAAAGATACACGTAACAATGTAAAAACAAGGCTTTAAAAGGAGGCAAATGTAAAATGAAAATGACTTTTCTTAAAAGTTTTTCAAACTAACAATTATGCCTGTAACAAACCTGTATTTCTATTCTCCTAAAATGAGTCAATACAAAAAAAAATCTGCACATTATTTAACCTCAGTAAACAAAAATATTCACATACTCATTACCTTAAATAACTGAATCCATCGTTTCTGCTCCATCTGTATACATTGCTGCATTTCAGAATTAGTAGTAACTCCAATACTTTGAAATGCTATAATATATTCTTCTCGAACTTCTGGTTTTGTTTCTGGATAAGCCAACTTGATGATCCCTAAGCATGCATCTCGAAGGCATCGAGACAGCATTATCAGCTCTTCTAAAGTGAAAGGCATCATTGATGATTGTCTCTGACCTACGACTGGAAAATATAATCCAAGTTTCTATCATATTTGGGTTTTTTTTTTCCATTTCTTAACACACACTGAAAGACTTAAAAGGCTTAAAACTTTTCTATCACCTATGAAAATGGACAGGCCATGAGGCCAGCAACAAACCAATTCCTCAAAATTCTTACCTTCTATGGGATCACCGAAGAATTCATTATCATGTATGGAAATCAGTGAATGACTAAACAAGGAGCTGAAAAGGTAAAAGAGTGGGATGATTCTACTAGAATCTTCAAAAGACATAGGAGAACCCCTTGATATCACCTGAAGCAATGGTACCATAGACCTAGAATTAGGAGAGAGGAGAAAAAACACCACAGTGATTTAGTTTGGGAACAAATTAAGACACGACATCAGACCAATATAATCAGGGAGAATAACACTTATATTAGCAATTAATCTGCTTCCAGGGGAGGCAAAGCCATGACAACACAGGTTAACAGATAACATAAATTAAAGAATAGGACACCAAGCCACCACTCTTAATGCTCCTGCAACTATCTTCAACTGGATAAGCTTAGTAATTTGAGAGTGAACCAGTGGTCCCAAGGTTCACTGGAAGAACACAGAGTAAGTAACGCCACTCTTAAAGACACACACTTTACTTTTATGCTGAAAACTACCCCCTTTCCCCTCTACAAAGGCAGATGGGTCTGGTCTCATGAAAAATTTATCCAGCCACTTACATTTAGGAACATTCAAAACAGTTAAATGTTGAGCCCAAATGAGAACCTTCAGGCTGTCTCCCCTTTAGATACTGGGCCTTGTTTCCACCTGCCAGCCCCGTTACTGTTACTGGTTACTGCTCCCACTTTTACGAGGAGTCCTGAGACCGCCTGGCGCAGCTCTAAAGCGAGCTGGTCTTTCCCCTCCCAAGAGCTGCGAGCTGTCACGTTTACTTCTCCCTCCTGGTTAAATGCGTCTCCTTCTCTCACTGAACACTCAGCTCCCAGAGGCTCCCCGTGAGCTCCTCCCCAGCGATAAAGCCCCGCGGCCTCTCCAGTATGTCCGGGCGGTCCTGGGTTCGCAGACCTTGTGGGCAAGATCGATCTCTCATCTTCCTCCATCCGCACCTGCACCTCAAACATCAATTTCCCCCAAACCACAGTTATCTAGGAGGCGACAAGTGACGAGGAGTCAGGGCCGCAAATTCCCCAGGGGCCGGCCCACCGCTGCCCCAAGTCACATGGGCGAGCAGAGCAGGAGGTGAGGCCTGCCTGAGGCGCTGTCCTCGCTGGGGGCTTTGGTCAGCTCGGATTAGCCACCTGGAGCTCTAGGGTGTCCATGGGGCACAGTTCAGGGGACAGCATGCCACCACGGGGGCTGGAGCGCAGGGCCCGGCGGTGCAGGCGGGGTGCGGCTCGCCCCGGGCCAGCGTCCCGCGCGGCCCCAGCGCTCAGCACAGAGCACCACGCTGAGTGAAAGCCATCCATGCAAAGTAAAAGTGCAGTGAGGGCAGACACAGAGAGACAAGCATGCCGTCTTCCCTCCTCGCCAACTTGGGGACGACAGAAAAAGGCTGTGTGTCTGGAGCACCGCACAGCAGTGGCCAAGTCCCAAGAGGACAGGAGCCCCCATCTCCCCCAGGTCGCCCCCACCAAGCCTAGCCCTGTGCCATCCACACAGTAGAACAAAAGGGTAAAAGGTCATTTGTTTTGCTGATATTGGTAAAACTAATAGTTTGTATCTTTTAGTTCCCTTGCCACTAACTGCAGAAGTACAAAAACAGTGGATGATACTGACAAACAAACACTATTTAGGGGGACATGGCACAGGTCGAGTTAAGCAGCTGCAATGTGGAGAAAGTATTTCCTGAATCTAAGGGGACGATAAAACCGCTTTCAGCTGTGACCCGTCAATAATCCTTGGGTCTAAATTCAGCATCGGCGTCAGTTATGCACATATATGTCAGGACGCATAAAACTCTTACACTGCTTCCCTAAAAAAAGATTAGGGCAGGGCTTCCCTGGTGGCGCAGTGGTTGAGAGTCCGCCTGCCGATGCAGGAGACACGGGTTCATGCCCCGGTCCGGGAAGATCCCACATGCCGCAGAGCGGCTGGGCCCGTGAGCCATGGCCGCTGAGCCTGCGCGTCCGGAGCCTGTGCTCCACAACGGAGAGGCCACAACGGTGAGAGGTCCGCATATCACAAAAAAAAAAAAAAAAAAAGATTAGAGCAATTATTCAACATTAGTTTATTTGTTCTCTTTAACCCCCTGTGAGGGTTAAGCAAAAGGAATTAACCATGTTCACGTGAATGACAGGAAGCGTGACTGGCAAGAAGGGTCAGCTGTGCGCCTGTGGTCTCATCCAGCCGGGACTGGAATGAAACACGTCTCCTGATTCTCTGCTGACTGTTCTTTCTGCCATCAACACTGACTCAGATACTCCCCTCAAAACAGGTCAAAGACTTATGTGCAAATAAAAAGTCCATAATGAAAGGAAAGACACTGATTCGTGACTCGGAGAGTTGGCTGGCTTAGGAGCACCGATCAGACCTCAGACAAACCCTCACCTCTGTACGCACCCTCAGAACAGGGGTTTCCACAGGGGGCCGGGCAACTGCCCCCCTCCCCCTTAAGTGACAGAGCTTCTCGTTGTCTCTAGAAGCTTCCAGTGAATGCATTCTTGCCTTGAAAAGCTTTAAGAGGGTGACTGTAAGTACTACTAACCACTGGAGCCAATGTGAAAAGGAATGGGCAGGATATACTCAAAACAGGTCCTAGTGAGTTAAAGACAATAACCGAACCACACCAGCCTCACCACACAGGCCCGCGGCAGGGCAAAACACCCTCAGGTTAGGTTTTGGTAAAGGGAGGCCTATCAGAAAACAGAAACCAGCCGCCCATACGCTCCTTCAGCTTCACCTGCATCCCCATCACCGAGGGGCCCGTGAGGCCACAGGTCCGGGCTTCTAACCCAGGCCCCGAACCCAAGCCTCAGGGCTGGGGCCAAGAAGTCTACACTTCGACACACTCCTCCAAAGAGCCTTACGCTCCCTGAAGCTCAGGAGTCCCAGCCGCGTAAGTGCCGCTAGGAAACCACTGATATTTTCAAGTTACACTTCATGCCATTTTCAGGAAAATCAGGCATTTCATCTTAATTTTATTCCAATAATAAATATGATGAGACACACATTAGGAATGTGTTAATACACTGTAAGTTTCTTGAGGGACTTTATTTTAATAAATTAAATTACAAAGAAATTCATTCTCAAATGAGCTTTTAAGAAATAATGAGTTTTTAAAAATTTGTATACCTTTACTAACTTATAATATTAATAATTTAATATAATCAATACCATCTCATTTTTCTTTCACACACCATGACTCCATCTCCTCACCAGGAGGCAAATGCCACAGACAAACAGGCAATCATCAGGCAGAGCCAGGGCGGGACCGCTGCTACTAAGCTGAGACACTTGGAGATCAAGGATAATTTCCCGTTCCAATGATCCCCAATCTTCTTTTGCCCTAAACAAACCTGTCATTCATGAATGCCAAGGCGGGCATAGTCATAAGTGTTTGAAATACACACACACACACACACACACACACTTAGAAACCTTACATCTTAATTTGAAAATCAGAGGATATAAAGATATTTTCTAGACCTTCAGTTATCTCTCTCTCCTCTCTACTGCTGCCGCTCACTGTTGGGATGAGAGACACGGCTCCACCCTTCTGCGTTGCATCAGCTCCAGTGCTGTCATTCAAAACTCCCTTCAGTCATGTAAGATGCATTAAAATTACATGAAAAAAACATGAAAGTAACTCAAATTTACGCTACCAGTACCCTGCCCTTCCTCTAGCAGTGGGAAGAGGACTGGACCTGGGCTCCTTTGGCACAGGACTGGCTGGGACCCACCCGAAGGTGCTGAAATGGGACCATCTCGTCCTCCACACACCACAGTGACAAGCTTGAGACCCAAAGACCGCCACACATGTACCGTGTCACACACCATGGGAGACTGCAGGTGGATGCACAGTGAAATGCTGGACACCCTAAACTCACCCACCAGTACGGCTTTCTATTTCCTGTCTCAAAAGAATATAAAATTTGTTTGTAAAAGGAAAGGAGGACTTCCCTGCTGGTGCAGTGGTTAAGAATCTGCCTGCCGATGCAGGGGACACGGGTTCGAGCCCTGGCCCGGGAAGATCCCATGTGCCGCGGAGCAACTAAGCCCGTGCGCCACAACTACTGAGCCTGTGTGCCTAGAGCCCGTGCTCCGCAACAAGAGAAGCCACCGCAATCAGAAGCCCGCGCACCGCAACGAAGAGCAGCCCCCGCTCGCCGCAGCTAGAGAAAGCCCATGCGCAGCAAGACCCAACGCAGCCAAAAATAAATAAATAAATAATATTTTATATATATATATATATAAATTTATTTATATTTATATAAATAAATATATAAATAAATATAAATAATATATAAATAAATATATATAAACGGAAACCCTCTTCTTTCCAAAGGCTGGCCCTAAAACAAAGAAGTGTTTTCCTTCCCAGGACAGGCTGGCTCGCGGCTGCAGGCAATACGGTGCTGGCTGTGATCTCCACCGCGTGCAAGTGCACTTTAGAAGCTGAGTCTCCAGTGAACTGAGTTACACACTTCTTTTCACACGACAGTACAGAAGGATTGGCTCAGACCCCAGGAAGGAGAAATTCATCATGGTAATGGCAGCAAGACCCAACGCAGCCAAAAATAAATAAATAAATAATATTTTATATATATATATATATAAATTTATTTATATTTATATAAATAAATATATAAATAAATATAAATAATATATAAATAAATATATATAAACGGAAACCCTCTTCTTTCCAAAGGCTGGCCCTAAAACAAAGAAGTGTTTTCCTTCCCAGGACAGGCTGGCTCGCGGCTGCAGGCAATACGGTGCTGGCTGTGATCTCCACCGCGTGCAAGTGCACTTTAGAAGCTGAGTCTCCAGTGAACTGAGTTACACACTTCTTTTCACACGACAGTACAGAAGGATTGGCTCAGACCCCAGGAAGGAGAAATTCATCATGGTAATGGCCTCCGTCCATTTACCGTGAAGGATTTTTGAATATTAAATTCTCTACATATTATACATTCAGTAAATATGTATATTAAAGATTCTAGCTTTCAAGTTACACGATTCACATAAAAAATCAAATTATTTCAACAAAAAGGTTTAGAAACCAATTTCTACAATACTTTATATGTTTTAGTGTTTGTAATGGTGGTAAATTTGCTTCAAATCTATATTTTCACTACCAAAAGCAGAGAAAAGACATACGAAGCAAAGAAATTTCAAGTTTCTGATTTTCAAAACATGACTAGTTTTGTTTTTGTTTTTATTTTTTTTTTGGCTGTGCCACGTAGCACGCGGGATCTTAGTTCCCAACCAGGGATTGAACCCATACCACCTGCAGAGGAGTGTTAACCACTGGGCCATCAGGGAAGTCCTGACTAGCATTTTTAAAACAAATTTACCCTCAGATAAAGCCATACTCTTAATACTATACACAGATAAACAACTGTGAAGTTAGGCATTAATTTTTTCACTTTGTGAAATTGAGACCATCTAGAATTTTTCTTCTAATATGAAATAAGCTAAGTATAAGTAGTACTTAAAAATACCTTCTTACAGTGCTTTTTATTAGATCGCCACTTTCCATGTCCTTAAGCTCAATTTCTAAGTCTGTATAACACATACCCTGTGATCATCCGTGTTGTCATAGAAGATATGAGAAACCAAAGGTGTCTCAGAAACCTGGCATTGAAGGCTAAACTGTAGAGAAGCCTAAAAAGGAACAGGGGAAGAAATAAGAAAGAGTTAATAGCAAATATTCATTCAATACACTTCTTCAAAAAGAAGAAAGCTATAAACTGAATGTACAATTTAGAAAATATCTGTATTAACACCACAAATCACTTCCTTCCTACAGCAGGCTGCTTAAGGAGTACAAATGAGAACTAGTCCATGCACCCCAACTGTGAGAGCCACTGTCTACTGTTACGGAGCTAAGCTGGCCCTGAGCCGTGCCTATGAGACCAACCCCAAAGAGAACCGGACGGGCCGTTTTAAAGCACGAGTTGAGTTTGCTGCCCCTCTGAGTACGTATCATAACACATTACTACATCACAATATTATGTATTATTAATATTATTACTACCAATACACATTAAACTTTTAGAAATGTTTTAAATATTTATTTAATAATTTTAAAAATATTTTAATATTTAACTGATTTTAACATCCCCCCTTTAAAACAAACACATAAAAATGTGTTTTTTAATGTTAACTCACATCTCAAAACTAATTTAAATCTAAAAATAGATTTTAAAGGCTTTAAAAACCCCTCCTGTATAATATCAATTTGATTAAAAAGGCTAAGGAACTTTGTGGGTAACCAAGTTTAACTTTAAATTAGCTTTACTTAGTATACTGCATTTTTGTAATAGGATATAATTTTTAGTCACAAAGTTATAATCAGGAGAAAAAAACCTGCGTAAAACATTTTTACACTCTTCTTAAAAGAGGGTACTATCTAGTATAATTTTAGAAGGGCAGGAGCCAAAATTCAAATTTCAAACTTATGAGACTAAATCACAGTCAAAAAGGTTTAGGATGGTAGGAAAATACGGTTTTAAGAAAGGGACGTGATCTTACTTTAGAGCCATCTCAGAAGAACAAGAAGGCAGAAGAGCAAAGACAAAGCTGGTTAGCAAGCAGAGCCAAAGGGCACAAAAGCTTTCACTGTGGTATTAGAGAATATGCACAAGGAATGATCCTGGAAGGAAAACTTGAAGATGAAAGGATTCTGAGCACAGAATCCCGTATTTTTAATACCCACATATCATCTAGTCCTATCTACTTTTTATGGGATGCTGGAATTAACACTGGATCACTGGATTTTCAGGGGAAAGACCTTGGAGACGGTGTCTGACCCCCAAAGTTGTCAAGTCAGCTTACGACAGAGCAAGTAGCAGCCCCCAGGCTGCGGAGGAGCTAGAAGAGAGCTCCTCTATCTCCTCAACAGTGCGACCACCAGCCCTGGGGTCTCCTGAGACCACCCCCAGGTCTTTTCCTGAGAAATGGCCATTAATAGTAACTGGACCATCTGACTAAATGAAAGCACTATGCAGTGTGTATCCACAATTCTCTATGGTGTTAATTACCACAGTTACGGTAAACTGTACTGAGTATAATACAAAATATTTTAATAGACTAAATTTTGCAAAAAGTGTATTAATTTAAATGCCCATAGTGGAAGAGAAAGGAATAGGGTTTAGGTAAATAAGTCACTCTTCAATATAAAAGTCTCAAATTTAATTGCTTATTTTCCTGCATTCAATCAAAAACACCAGATACATTCTTCAGCATTAGCAATTTCTGAGTCTACAACAGGGATTATGGAGTACTGGTTTTTAAAAATCCAATCCAATTTTAGCGTGGTGCATTTTGAGATGTTCAAATGGCATTAAAAGCATAATCATTTAAAAAATAGTGGAAGCATAAAAGAATATGTGAAATTTACCTAGAATCATGAATCTCAGGCTAGAAAGAATCTATTAGATCATTTAGCCCAACCACTCTTCAAGTGTCATTAGACCAAAAGCAACCTGTTTTTAGGAGAAAACGAGGGGACTGTGCTACATCAATTCTAAGGTCTTTTCCAGCTTAAAAATATGATGATTCTACAAAAGTGAGTCATGTTTGTCACAAGTACATACTTAATAAATGGTAACAACACTATACTAATTCATTAGGTTGAGAAATTAAGACAAAAATTATTGGAATAACAAAAAATGGTAAGAACACAATAAATCATAGGAGATCAATTAAATAAACCATGGAAAACAGAATAAAAACAAAGCTATAAAAAACATGAACTTTCAACATGAAGGAATTCTAGAAAGTAACATCTGCTTGCCTTCTTTCTCTTTAAGAAATTAAGGTCTTCTAAAAGAGTGTACTATCCAGTATAATTTTACTGACCCGATTTCTTAAATTTGTGTTAAATATAAATACTAACACTTGGCGCCTCAGAGGTCTGAGGAACAACGTACTGTAAGCAGGTGTTTCCTTTGCTCTTTTTTCTTCAACCACAACACAAGGGACAAGATCTTTAGCAACATTTCATCCCATCTTCCCCAAGTAATCAGCTAATACCGTGGAACAAACCATCCAGACACAGCGGACAGATGTAAACAGAAATGGGTTCTCCCAATACATTCTCTTACGACACAGTTTTTCACCTACAATTTGTAACTAACATCTCTCCACATGAATACATATACATATTTCTGAAACATCATTTTAATGGCTACACATTTCAAAAGTTATATGTCAAGTTAATTTTTTTCAAGTTAATTTTGAAACAACTACAGTTCCTAAACTAATCACTCAATAGGCAATAATAAAACAAATTATTAAACCTTTTTTATAAATTAATAAAGGTTATTTGGGACTTTACTGCTAAAAGGTAAGGAAGTGAAGTGTTCTTTACATATACTGGGATATATTAAAAATTACCCACTAAGCTTTATTTAGCTGAGACAACCCTATGAGTTAATTAGTAAAGGACTATTCAAGTCATTAAAGAGAACACAGTGGAAGACTCCCGCTCACACACAGGCAGTAAAGGTCATGACAGCAAGGCATTCTCAGAGACTTCCTCTGTATGTAAAGGTGTCACAGGTAATTACGAGAGATATGACAAGTCACCCACCCAAAGACCACTCTGCTCTTGCCGCACACAAGTGCAAATGTGATACTTTGTGTTTTCCTGCTCAAAGTATCACTTTTTTGGCAAAAGCAGTATTAAAATACACATATAAATTTCACCTGTGAATAATGGAAGACTAAAAAATAAGCTCCAAATTGCCTTACTGATAATAAAAATTTTAAGACGTATTTCAGCTTGAAGCAACGTAAAACATTTTCTTCACAAACTAGGAATTAAGAGCGGAAGATAAGCTTCAGACATACAGCTGTGTTAAACTAACATCCCAGTGCTGAAACCATGACCAGGGTAAACAGACAGTTCCCTTTCCCCTGATAATTAATTTTCTTTAATTTTAAGATGAACCGATTCAAAAAATGTACCTTCCCTCATATTAGTTTAAATTAAAATGGGAGAAAGCAGCATTCATTACCTTAGATGCCTTCCTTGATATTCCCTTCCCTTTTCTTTCTTTCAAGAAAACTTTAAAAAACTTTTAAACAGCCTGTGTGTATATAATGCTTTTTCCAAGTTCACTCGTATTTCCTGTGAACTGTCATCCTCAAATGTTTAGAAAATTCGTAGAAGTTTCAACTCACTACAAATTATATTCCTAAATTGGACTAAAGCAGGCCTACTTTATTAATTTGATGCCTCTAACAATAACTACTGCCAACTCATTTATAATCTATATATGATTTCAAGATAGGCAATAATAATATCATTGTGTTGAAATGTGAAAAAGCTCACAAATTTTATCTGACCTTCGTAAGAATGCAAATTATAACAATAATCAATAGCTGCTTAAATCTATTGTTTATACCAAAAATATCACTGATAATAAAAGCAAGCATGAAACCATAGGCAAAAATAATAATAATAGTTTCTCTGTAGGTACATTCTCAGTATTTTTTCTAAAATACTATAAATATTTGTTTACAAAAACATGAACAGTACGCAGTACTCCTGGAATACCCACGTAACACAAATTTGAATTTTTCTCCGCTGAAGTCATCTGCACAATCATTCTATCTCAAATTATTAAAGATATGAACTTACAAACCAAGAGGTAAGGGGGTGCCCATTATCACATTTACTTAATAGTGCTTAAAAAACAGATGAGGAAACGGCTATACGCTCCCAGGGCACACAACTGTCCAAATCACAATGATTAATAACACAAGACACAATTAAGCTGGCTCATTCTATTAATTTTTGGTAGAAAAATCAAGCACCTGATACAATAAAACTGATTCTGATGGCTTACCATATGAGGTATGAAGAGAACTAGAGGAAAATTGTAACACCAACCTTTCTGATCCCTACAACACTACCTTTAAGATTCCATTTCGAAGTCTCTAGATGTTAATGAAACAGAAGAGCCCAGCCCCAAAGAACAGCTCGTCAGCTCGTCCACCCACCTGAAGTGTAACCCAAACTCCTTAAGATCACCTTTTAAGGGAGCACCTACCGTAAAATGAAAATTTCACTAGAAGCTGTAATTACAGGCGAAATCTCAGGATATAAACTCAGGAAGGTTTCTGAAAGATGATCACCTGTGCATGACTCTAAGAGACAATTCAGCCAAGAAAAGACAAGGAGGAGGGCAGAGGCACTCTGGACAGACACCAGCACAGGCAAAAGGAGAGAGGCATGAAATACCTTGGAGGCACAAAAAATAGCAAGAAAATGAAAGTAATGAAGCGTGGCTGGGGCAAAAAGCCCTAATTTTATGGCTAGAAACGGAGTCAGAGGGGTAACCAAACACTGGATTAGGAGAAGGCACTGACTGCACAGCACCAGGCAAAGGGATGCGAGTGTTGTCCTGGGCCAAAGGGATTCAAGCAAGAGGATGAAATAATGTGGGTTATATTTCTGGCAATTCAGTCTGGCAACACAACACAAAGTATGCAGCACTCACATACCATGGTGACAATGCATACAGGGAACTACGGAGAGAGCCTAAACTCTCAGCCAATGCTGTCCAACAGAACTTTCTGTGATGGTGGAACTGGCCCACCCTGTGCTATCCAATGTGGCAGCCACGGGCCACACATGCCTACTGAGCACTTGAAATGTGGCTGGTGTGACTGAGGAACTGGGTTTGTACCTTTATGTAATTTTAGTTAATTTAAAGTGAAGTGGCCACATTTCACTAGTGGTGGCCCTACAGGACACTGCAGGCCCAGCGTGACGCCCAGGTTTAGGGGAAAGATGCTGAGTTCAATCTCAGGCAGCAGGAAAGGAGCGTGAGGACGGCCCCTGCTAATTAATACGTGGCTGAATGGGAGTCTGGAGCTCCGGAAAGCAGGTGAAGCCACCTGTGTGGACGAGATCACCCAGAGAATCCACTGAGCAGAAAGGAACTGAGGAACTGAACAGGAAGAGAAGTCTAAGGGTTAGGAAACACTGTGACAGAGACAAAGAAGAACCCACAGAAAGCACTGAGAAGGAGAGGCCTGTGACCACAGGGGAATTCTCGAGAATCCCGTGGCTTCAGCAAAAAGGCTTCAAGAAGAGGAACGAGGATGAGGGGCAGACACAGGGGCACTGGCAGCGGCGGGAGGCCCCCAGGGGACCGGGCGGCAGCGTGCAGCAAGTGAGGCCCTCGTCCAGCGTGGACAGCACTGCCCAACAGCATGGATCCGCCCAACACAACACCCGAGCCCTGCCCGCTAAGCCTTATTCCGAGTCAGCCAGGGGTAAAGCTGAGCGCCTGCCCACAGGCTGTCCTCAAGGGTCTACTTAAATATCCCACTTTCTAGGCTTAGTTCTCTAGATACTGGGACAGTGCCTGCCTTTTTCTCCCCTCCCACAATACAACCAGTTAATATTTATTCATATTTAAAATCAGTGAATATGAATTTTAAATCCAAAAATGTACTCAGATTTACAAATTTTCTTTCACAAAAGGAGATGGCAGTCCATTGCTTAATTTTTAAAAATTAAAATAATGCACATAATCCAAAGCTCAAACCATACGAAAAAGTACACGGTTCAAAGTCCAGCCTCTCCTCCTCCTCCCTCAACCTCCGCAGCAGAACCAGACGTGTGAGTAATCGCTTCTATGAATTTCTTGTGAACGCTTCCAAGTTTCTTTATGCAAATACATATTCTTACTTTTTCTACCTTTCAGACACAAAAGATAGTTATTCATTGCTCTATATCTTCTTTTTACTTAAACATATATCTTAGAAATCTTTCCATATCAATGTAGGAAGGGCCTCCAAATTCCTTTATACATCCGGACAATCAATGTTAAACGGAAATTAAAACCTCAAATCCCAACCCTGAAAATAAGAGGGACTAATATGAGCCTGGGAAGAGTTGAGAGTGAGTTATCAGCCTAGGAATTTAATCATCTTTTAAACACCTTAAAAAAAGGTGCAAGTAGTTAAAATCTACAACAGTTAAAATAAGCCTATTTGCTCTTTTATGAGCTATGAAAAACATTCTAAATACTCAAAACCTAATATATTCAGGCCATAAATAAAATTCCTGGAGTACTTTCTTAGAGGAAATAGGTGCTGTACTCATAAAATCAAGGCTACATACAAAGCTCCTTTACCATTAAACACCTTTTGGAAGCGGTTCACCGGTAAACCCCAGGCCAGGGCGGCGATGCATCAAACCCAGTCATTACTACCCAAAGCAATGGACTTTGTGCTCCAATAAAAGCAAGGGGCCTAGTTCAGCTGCAAGACCCTCAGATCTCACATCCTGCTCTGACGCAATTAGCCCACAGAGAGCTAATCACCTAATCCCGGGCTCGCAGTTTCCCTGGCATCTTGCTGCGTCCGACACTAATAAACACCAGTGAGCTAGGACGGCACCTAATTAGTTGGCTGCATTAGTGTTTACAAGGCAGCTGCAGGTGATGAGTTCCCTGCATACAGCTCGTTTCAAAGAAGGCTTTCCTAGCAAAAGAAACAGCTCTTTTCATGTTACAGGAAAGCATTTTACAAACAGAGGGGACTCTGTCTGGTCACACAGGACTCAGGCACCCACGCGCCTCACAGAGGGTGGCCCCTCAGTTCCTAGTGGAGCCACTACACTCGGTCTCACTGCGCTCCTCTGAGCATTGTTCTGTTAAATTCTAGGAAACTGCTCAACTATCACTCAAGATAGAGGGAAAAAATACCAACAGTTTAAGGTTACTGTCATATTCATCAGCCACATTTAAATTCCTATGTTTCTTGTCCCTCTCAAAAGTTCATTTCAAAGTTCTGAACAACAAAAATTTTTCAGGTACCAAAGTAAACTGTCAAGGGCACTCTGACAAGAAGAGTGCTATGACAAAGCCTAGAGAGACAAGTAATACGTTGGTTCTATCATCCAGGCACGAGTCAGACTTTTTAAAGGGGTGGCCAGGACTAAGCTCCGCTCACTCCAGACAGCACACAAGAGGACCTTCCTGGATTGGTTAACATGTCAAAGGCCAGGGAAAGCACCTAAACAGTTATTAGCTGGTTTAGAAAAGACAAACACACACACGTTCATTTTCCGTGGCGCTGGCTGGAGGCAGCGGATGGCCAGCGGCGGGAGGAGAGCCCGCCGGGGACCGAGGCGTCCACGCCCAGACTTGCCTGGCCTTGGGTACCACGACTCGGTGCTGCACCATGAGCGTATGGCAGATGGCCGCCATCAGCGTGAAGGCCTCCTCGCTGGCTGAGTCCCTCCAGACCAGGTTTAACAGGGTGTTGGTCTGCTGTTTCGTATCCAGCTTTTTCAGACATTCCTCGGTTATGTACGGTACTGACAGCCTACCATCCTCCTAGAACACACCAGATGGGTTAGTCTGAGTTAACCATGTTCTACGAGAACTCAGCTCAACACTACAAAGATAATGTAAAATCTTATTCTCCTTCAACTGAAAATATAAGAAAGGCGTTACCCAAAAACTATCCACGTCACAACGAACATATCAATATCTCTACCAAGCCACCCGTTAAAGTAAGCTGAAATCCTCTGGAGACCCAAAGTCATTACCCATGGTAGGTGCCAATTTTGCCCAGCATGACAACATAGAACTGTGAACACTCGGTCTGTGCTTTAATGTGACAGTATTTTTAGTCCTTACAGCTTAAGAAAAATTTATTTCATATTTTCCAGATTGCATTACACTAAGCATACATGTGTGAAAATGTATTACCATCTGATAAAATTTTCATTTTAAATTATGAGATACCACAGTTTAAGCAAAATAGAATATTAAAGAACTTAAAAAACATCAAATGAAATACATAAACCTGTTATTTTACAGCTTAACTTCCCTAGAATGTCTGATTCACTGACTAAAAGCTGAGCTAATACTCGATACAGTTTACCTATTTGGGATATTAACCAAAGATATATACATTTTTCATATATGTACATATATATGAGTATATAAAAATGACTATATACACAACACTGGGTGTGACTGACTGTACTGTTTGGAAACCTGGATGTATATAATTTATGTAACATAACAATCAACCAAATAAAATACTGTATTAGAGATGTACCTAGTATATATATATATATATATATATATATATATCTTCACTTAAGATACAAATCGCATTTTGTACAGGCACACCTTGGAGATACTGCAGGTTTGGTTCCAGACCACAATAAAGCAAACGTCGAAATAAAGTAATTCACATGAATTTCTTGGTTCCCCAGTGCATATGAAAGTTATGCTTACACTCTGTCGTAGCCTATTAAATACATAATGCAATATAGCATTACGTCTTTAAAAAAAACAATGTACATGCCTTAATTTAAAAATGCCTTATTGCTAAAAAATGCTAACCATCACCTGACAACAAAGAACTGCCAAAAACCTTCAATGTGTAAAAAATGGAACATCTGAGAAGTGCAATAAAATGAGGTATGCCTATACAAATAAAATTTAAATTTCACAGATTCTCTAGAAGGTTAAGAATTAACAAACTGTCTTCTAAAAACAGAAGTTTTATCTGCATTTCATCTACAGGATCCCACTTCTTTTTCTGACCATACAATAAAATTCACACTTGTTGGTGTGCAGTTCTGAGTTTTGACAGATGCAAGAGTTCCAGCACCCACCAAAACTCTGTTTTGTCTCTTTGTAATCAACCCTGCCCTGGTCTAAGCCCTGGCAACCACTCATCTGCTTCCCCCTGTCCTCCTGTTATGGCTTTTTCATCTCTGCTAAGGGAGCCCCTGTGCCCTTTCACTCGACCCCCCCAACTCCCACCCCACACAGCACGAGTCACTCTCAAGTGTACTGCTCCTGGGACTAGACTCGGCATTAACCAAAGAGAAATTTCCTAACCAAAAAAAATATATATCTAAAACCTAGTACAGCCACACCTCAAGCCATTTCCATTGTGTAATTAAGAGAAAAAGACATCAGTGGCAGACAAATCGTGCGTATAAGTGACATAAAGCTTTTTATTCCTTGAAAATGCACAGTAAACAACGCTCGGTGAGAAATGGGAGATAATATGTGACACTGTTCGTAAAATGAATTTAAAAACCAATCATAGTATTTATCACCTATAAAACTTGCGAAAATTGACAAAAGACGTGTGCTGTTCACAAGACAGGGTAAGAAGAAACTTAACCTTATTTTTTCTTTTAGGGGCTGAGGAGAAGGAGGAAAGGGACTGACTGTTAATGGATTTGGGGTTTCTCTGTGGAGTGATGAAGATGCTCTAAAATTAGACAGTGGTGATGGCTACACAGTTATGTTACTATACTGAAAAGTCACTGAATTGTATATTACTCTAAAAGGGTGAATTTTGGAACTTCCCTGGCAGCCCAGTGGTTAGGACTCTGCACTTCCACTGCAGGGGGCTCGGGTTCAATTCCCAGTTGGGGAACTAAGATGCCACATGCCGTTTTTAAAAATAAATAGATAAAAATAAAAATATATTTAAAAAATAAAAATAAAAGGATGAATTTTATGGTGAAGTATATCTCAATAAAGTTATTTTTTTAAAAATTCTTTACAAAAAGAAAAAGTAGCACAGTGCCTGACACACAGTAGGTGCGCTTCCTGAGAACTATAGCAGCTTAACCCTTTAACCCAATCATTTCACTCCTAGGAACTATGTCCTAGTAATGATCGAACTAATATACAGGATAACCTATTTTACATTAAAAAACCGAACACAAAACTACGTGTCTCCACATAACCTTGTACAGACGTAAGGAAAAGGTACGGAAGAGCTCGTGTCCAATCACGAGGACAGCTCTCTCTGGGGAAGGGTGCGATGGCAGTGTAGGTGAGGGGTCCTTATCTCTACAGCTGAAGGCTTTACAATAAGAACGTCTTGATGTATTACTTATGTAACTAGAAATAAGGACGGACACAAGCTTTTGACTTCCGACGTCACATGAAGCTGGGCTCGGACGCACAGGACCCGGGAGCTTACTGGAGCACTTGTCTGCGTGTCTGTCTCTCCACTCTCATCTTCAGAGTCACTGGCTGAATCCTGACAGCTTGTGTTGGCAGGTGAAACCGGCAACCGAGAAAGGAGGGTCTGGAGGACGCTCAAGTACACTAGCAGTCCCTCCTCAGACAGGGTCCCTTTGTAAAACAATCAGTTACAACCGTTAATTAAAAGGGATCCAAAAGAAACTGGAAAACTCAGGTTCCCATTTTTCCTGTACTCAGGGAGGCATTTCTGACCAGGACTTACATAGATGTGTGCAATAAACTATACTAGCGGAAGATACCGAAATTCTACAATAGGCACATTAGCAGTTTAGCACAAACGGGGGAAACACCCCCGCACTCCCAGGAGCTCCTCCCACTCAACTCAAAAATTCTGTTTAATCTGTGTGGCCTTATAATATGTACTGAAAGCAGACTTTTTCATCGTGCCTGGAAACCTTCCCCAGGGACACTGCCCAGGCCACAGTCCTGCAGCAAATACACCCTTCCAGAAATCCCTACCCCAGAGGCCACCTCAACAGCGGGACACCCGCCACCACACCCCCTGCTCTTACGCGCTAATACCACCTCCATGTGAGTTCGCGTAAGACACATCTTGCATTTCATACCCAAGTAATTTTCACCAACAGTTAAAACAAAGTAGAAGAGCCACGGCGCTCCGCCACTGGTCTTGGAGCGTGGACCCTCTATGGACAACAGTGCATTCAGGAAGGACTCATAGGGGAAGACGGTCTGCACGTCGGCCAAGGCAGGAATGACAAAGAGGAAGACCTGCTCTGTGAAGGGGGCTGCCAGGACCTCCTTCGTGAAGGCTGTGAAAACTTGTTGCCTTAAAAAGAAAAATGGAAGCTTTTAAGAAAACCAAAATACACTGTTTACAAAATCATTGATTCAAATCACTGGTCACAAAATATCTTCCTAATCAATGTTAAGCTTTCAGTATCAACTAGATTACCCTGAACTTAATGTTGTGTCTTTCCTATAAAAAAAACTCTGCCGTGTTTTTGCTAACTTTTGATAGCTACTAGAAAGCAAGAAAATAACCAGGTCATCAGAATTATAAATTTATGTTAGGGTGCAGGACAGACAGAAAGAGTACATTTTTCTTTAAACTGAGTCACACTAATAAAGCAAAAATTTGACTTTCAAGTCTATATTTAACAGAGCATCCTATGTCAAAGTTATTGTTGGATACATACGATCTTGTGAAATTACAAAATCAATAAATTGATTCCATTCTCACCTTGCACCTTCTGGACAGGAGTTGTAAGTAAAGTGCAATGGTTTTAAAACATTCTCTAGCAAAATTTTTGCTATAGGAACTCGAGATAAATCAGAATATTCAATACTTGATGGAAGCTTGCTGTTAATTAACAAATAGAGAGATCTATAATACCCTAAAAGAAAAGAAAAACGTATTTATAATTTGTATCAATTCATACCTTTTCTTATAAGGAGGGGAAAAAAAACTTGTCAATTTTTAAATGCTTTTTATAAATCTCCACAGGTACAACTTCAAGCTAATTTTTCTTCAAGTTTTCATTAAGAAAACCTTTAGGCACCCATGTAGCTTGAAGTGATGCATAAAGTCCACGTACCCACTACCCAGCACCAACAATTATCAACTACAGCCAGTCATCTATGCCTCCACTCATTTGGAAGCAAATCCAAGATATAATTATCTCAGTATATCATCAAAGGACTTTATTTTTCTTAAAACTACCATCATCACACCTAAAATAAATTAGTAATAATTCCTCAATATCACAAACACCTATCAGTGTTCAAGTCTCCAACTGACTCATGTTATAAATTTTATTTAACTAGTTTGCTTGCATCAGGATCCAAGTAAATCCCATACATTGTGATTTTTTAAATGTCTCTTAAGCATCCTTTAAGTAATTAAGTTGTTCTGTGGTTTCCTAAACAATATCCCGTTGAACCCAGGACTTTAACCCCGGGGTAGACTTGCGCCGTCGCAGCTGTTCTTGCTGATACTCGTGATCATCATCGTACTGCTGATGGGCTGCAGTCAGGTGAGCATCTCTGCTTCCTGATGGGACAAGATGGCCCAGTCTCACCTTCTCATCTCCCAATCAGGACCAGGGACTCTTAAATCCCTTTTAAAGGAAAGGATGCCTCTGGAGACCACAATGTGGGCACCGAGGGATTCACATGTTTTAAAGACGACCGCTATGAAGCAGAAACACCTGGCGTGGCCTTTCTAAGCTGCCGATGGGCTTTCTAGGGGTACGGTGAACATAACTCTGCCGCCACTAACAACTCAGGTCACGCAGTCCTATAGAAGCGTGTGCCCCCTTCTTGCATGGCAGTAAGAGCATCTTCGGGAGTAGTCTGCAGGCATCCCGTTACTGTAAGCTCACGCTAACACGCTCTCCACCTGCTTGGTTTGCTCCCTCCAGCTCTGCACCCGACGTTCATTCGCTGAATGGCGAGTCTCCGCACGGATCCCAAGACCTGCTCTGCCACCACCCCAGCTCTAACCTCACACACACTGATCACCAGCGACGCGCAACAAGAAAGCCTGAAAGCTCTTCTGCTATAAAACTGAAAAGACGTAAACACATCAAGAAAAATTTTTAAAGTAGCGTATTGTTAATATATTAACACAAATATGTGTAGATTGACAGCATGAACAGAGCATTAAGTAGTTTAGCTGCAATTGTTAAAAAGCTTCATGTTAAGCCAACATACAGGGCACAGTAACGTGAACTAGTAAATGAACACGATGCTAAAACATTACAGACTAGTAATGTCAGGAAGTAATTTATCAAGAAAGATGAAACATGGCTATACCAGACACTGGAAGCAGCACCTTCTGTGTAAGATTCTGAAGCATCTCCTAGTTCAAGACACATTTTTAAATAATGCATATTTCTCAGTTATCATCTTTATACTTTTGAAAGCAAGAAGAGTAAAAATTCTCACTGAATGCTTAGTCTTTTTTTTTTTTAAAAAGAAGATATTGGGGGTAGGACTTTAGTAATTTATTTTATTTATTTTTGCTGTGTTGGGTCTTCATTTCTGCGCGAGGGCTTTCTCTAGTTGCGGCGAGCGGGGGCCACTCTTCATCGCGGTGCGCGGGTCTCTCACTATCGTGGCCTCTCTTGTTGCGGAGCACAGGCTCCAGACGCGCAGGCTCAGTAGTTGTGGCTCACGGGCCCAGCTGCTCCACAGCATGTGGGATCTTCCCAGACCAAGGCTCAGAACCCGTGTCCCCTGCATCGGCAGGCAGATTCTCAACCACTGCGCCGCCAGGGAAGACCTGAATACTTAGTCTTAAGTCAATATATATAATAATACATCAATTAATACAGTGGGCCATTTACAATTGCCATTAATTTGCCTTTTTTTTTTTTTTTTTTGCAGTACGCGGGCCTCTCACTGCTGTGGCCTCTCCCGTTGCGGAGCACAGACTCCGGACGCGCAGGCCCAGCGGCCATGGCTCACGGGCCCAGCCGCTCCGCGGCATGTGGGATCTTCCTGGACTGGGGCACGAACCTGTGTCCCCTGCATCGGCAGGCGGACTCTCAACCACTGTGCCACCAGGGAAGCCCATTAATTTGCTTTTTAAAAGATCAAATTCCACAAATTTCAATTTACTTTTAATTAACTCAGTAGTTTCCCTAATTTTTCAATGAACTAAGTAGGGTTTCTTTATTTTTTAAACCTAAGCCGAACAGTAAGGCTGGAGATGTATGAGAATTTAATTTCTACAGTTTTAATCCTGAGAATTAAATTAGCTAGATTTAACCCATCAACAGATCAGTCCGTTTCAAAAAAACAAAAGCAAAATTATTTATGTTTTTATCAGTCACTGTTGCTTTCTAGAACACCCTATAGCTCCTTTTACGACTCATAACATCCCCATTCTAACATTAATGCTCCGGAAGTCCAGGAGCCCTGCAGCATCTGATTTTTCCACCTGTGAGAACACCGGGAGTCAGATTTTTGTTGTTGTTGTCCTTGCTGGCCACACCACGCGGCTTGTGGGACCTCAGTTCCCCAACCAGGGACTGAACCAGGGCCCACGGCAGTGAAAGCACCGAGTCCCTAAGCACTAGGCCACCAGGGAACTCCCTGGGAATCACATTTTTTACTTTATGTGACTTAATTATCACAGAAGTTTTAAAGTCATAGTCCTTCTGCCGGCGACACTAACATGTTCTCAGAGGAATTTCAGGTCTAGGTTCTTGTGCCTGACAGAATGCAGTCACTTTTAAGACGTGTGTCACCGAGTTACTGAGAAAACCCAAATGAACTGAGCACCTTCCTCTCCTCTACTGAACTGCTGTGATTCCTGGGACAGGCTCTTCCCCAGTCAGTATGGCACTGCGTTTGCGGCGTGACTGTGCCCACCACCTGGGCCGCAGCACGCAGCCAGGGCAGCCAGGCCTGCACTGCGGGCCCAGAGCACCTGGAACACCTTCCGAAAGCAGACACTAACTTACTTCATTTTCAAGCAACAGGAAAAGTGAGGTAAAGACATCAGACACATTTCCAAATTCTGAGGGTGGGTAGTGACGAGGACAGATGTTAGAATCTGTGATTCACACAACGCTTCCCACCCCGAAAGGTGCCCTGGCTGGTGCCGACTGCTCACGACCACGCCACCCCCAGTTCTTACACCGCTGACTTACCATTCTGAATCATGTAGTGCAAAATCTGTTCAATCACGGACACCACATAGCTAGCATCTTGTAAAACAGGCAAATAGGTGTTCTCTGAGGAAAACACCTCAAGCATTCTCATTGGAAGTGCAACATTCAAACTGTCATCATTACAGTTCTGCAGTAACCTGTAAAAATGAAAAGAAAAAAAGTATTCACATACTTACTAGATGGCAAGTGTCACCGCAAGTTTCGTCAAATTCTTCTCTTCGCTACGGTAAGTGTTCGAGCCGTTCTGTTCTAGCACTACAATATCCCTGAAAACAGACGTGACTCCAAGACAGACAGGAAATAACCAAGCATCGTGTCACTGACACTTTTCTTGAGTCCTTATTATGTGCCAAATAGAATGATGGCGCCTGGTTTAGAGAGGAAAAATGCACCATCAGAGAGGGAGAAACAGACAAGGAAAATCAAAGCCCACCAATGCCGTGTGGGAAGAGTATGATGCACTGACCTAAGCTACATCTAATACAACTCACATAAGCATCTTTCCACAAGTGCCTGCAAGACTTTCCATGCCCACAATGTCCCCCAAGAAGAACACTTAGTATATTTCTGATCCTAAGTCATCTAGCATTTTGACTGAAGACTCCCTTCTTTTTACTATGAGAATTATAGGCAGAAAGGAAGGCTTAGCCGTCACAAAACTAAGTCTTACTTAAAAACAGATAATGTCTTTGTAAGGCCAACTGGCCCGAGGCACGGGAACACAATCAGATTCACAGGTTGCATCAGACCGAAATTCTCTGGACCACCCAGTTCCAGGAACTGACCTGGGGACTTTGCACCCGGCCCAGCCTTTCGAGGGGCGGGACTAACGGTCCCCCAGGATACCCGAAAAGACCACCAAATAAGGAATACCCTGCGCCCTCCCAGATTCACCACACCCCTTCCCCTTCTTCCCCTATAAAATCTTGCCCAACCCTCGCCCCTGTGCGACTTCTCTGGCCCCTTTCTCTCGGACCAGTGAACCTCGCCCGGGGGCGCTCCCTAATAAAGTTCACTTGAAGCTTTCCTCTGTTTCCCGGTGCCGTTTGTTAAGATCCGACCCTACAGTCTCTTTTTTTTTTTTACATCTTTATTGGAGTATAATTGCTTTACAATGGTGTGTTAGTTTCCACTGTACAACAAAGAGCTATTTGTAAACATATAACCCCTCCCTCTTTTCTTAGAATCAGCTTTACAGAGACACAATTTACACATGATAATCTGCACTCATTTAAAGCAATGAGCTCCGACATTACCCCACAATGAGGACACAACACATCCATCCACTGCTTCCTCTCGGCCCTCTCTAGTAACTTCCTCCCTCCAACTCCCTGACCCCCAACCAATTTCTTCTGTCACATAGACTAGTCTGCATTTTCTACTATTCTATACACGAGGAACCATACGGTATGTACACATTAATGTCTAGATTCCTCACTCAGCATCTTTCTGAGATTCATCCAACATGTTAAAAACATGGTCCTTTTACTGCCAGTAGCATTCCACAGCATGGGAAGACCATGTTTTGGTTATGTATTCATATGCTGATGGACACGAGTCGCTTCCAGACTTTTCTCGTTATAAATAAAGCTGTATGAACGTTCAAGGATAGCGTGTGTCGACCTGTCTCATTTCTCTTGGGTAAATTCCTAGGTGAGGAACCACTGGGTCACATGGTAGCCGGACAGTATTTAACTTGACAAGAAACTGTCCAGTGTGAAGGGCAGTATGTGAGAGTCCCAGCTGCTCCGTACCGGTAACGCTTGGTATTAACACTTTTTCAAGTTTTAGCCAAGCTAAAAGGCTGCATTACTGAACTTTACTGTGATCTGAATTTGCATCTCTGTGATTATTTATGATGTTGAGTACCTTTTCAAGTGCTTATTGTGTCTGCTTTGCAAAAGTGTTCCACCTTTTAAGTGGGCCCTTTGTTTCTTGAAAACCCAAGTACCACTGTCTGTGCCCACCCAGGCCGCACCACCTGGCCCTCATTCCGAAGAGCTCCAGCAACCCCTTCCCCGGAGCCCATTTCCCCTCCCACCTGGATCCTGGATCAGCGCACTCTCAGGTTTCCCACCTTAGTCTCCAGACCCCACTGCCTCACCCACTCCTGGCCCACGTCCCTGCCCCTGTGCAGAGCTCTTCACCATTCACAATTCCTCTTAAGCCTGAGCCAACCGGCCCTTCCCCACCGCTGCTCTCATCAAGGTGACCAACGGTGCTACGGCAGTGAAAACCGCCAGACTGTGAAATGGGCAGAAAAGACCGATGGCCGGCCCAGCTCACTCACTGTGTTACCCTCCATCCTCGCCTTCCACCAGGCTGATCTACAACTCCGTAGAGACGGAAGCTAACTTGTAGAAAACTGACAGGAACGCAGATGTTTCCTATACAGAGCGACACAAATTATTCCTGTTCCTGGCAATGCAAAAGGCTTCTTGCAGAGAATATAAATTCCCTAAGGCAAATCCTTATTATTATCAGTTGTAACATCTCGCTGGTTCCCTCCTTAATTAACCAGTTAAATAAAATCACTGACACGTGTTCACAGGGAGTCCCGATTTTACCTTTCCTGGAAAGCAATACTGAGCATTACCAACTCAATGATCAACTCTCTGACTCCCTTTATGCTGGTGGCCACTTCCTGACGGCCCCCCTTCCCCGTGCTTTCCCTGCCTGGATGCCAGGGCCCTGGACCCTCCTCCATCACCAGCTCCCCCTCTTCCCCACAGCATCCTGATGTCAGGGGACCCCAGGGACCAGTCTTTGGTTCTCTCTCTACACAGTTCACTTATCTCATGCATGTTTACGTTCCTTAGTGTTTAAAACGACTTCATCCTTCTAAATGCTCAAACCAAAAGCTGGTATGCATCCTTGGCTTTATTTTCTGAAACCCCACATCCAGTCTGTAAATCCTGTGCCCTCTAGTTTCCAACCAACTTCATGACACTCCCACTGCGATCACCATGGCCCAAGACACCATCATTTCTGGAATGGACCACTGCTGTCTCTTACGGATCCCCGTCTCTGCAGCACACTAGTGAGAAGAGTTCTAGAAAAACATAAATTGGAGATGCAGGGTGGCAGGGGCTATTCCAGATGAAAAGATTCAAGAGACATCCAAGGTTATGTGTGGTCAATTAGAGTTTATTTTTTAAAAAGAAGAAAAAGAAAAACAGCTATTCAATATAATTTGAAAACAAGAGGAATTTGAAAATGGACGTAGTATTAGACAAGATGACCAACCTGAGTCATTTCTAAGTACAAGGGCTGCTATTACTGGGACTGTCAAACCAGACTGGTTGCCCTAGTGATACTTAATATTACTCTCAATAATTTTTAAAGGTGTACTAATGAAACTCTTGTTTGCAGGAGTGTCCTTCTTTGGGGAGACGGCCACTTACGTATTTTGGGAGTGGGAAGTCACTATGTTACTTTGAAATGATTCAGCAAAATGTTAACAGTGGTCAACAATGTTAAAAACAGTCGACTCAGGATGGCAGGCAGATGACCACTTACTGTGCCACTTTTCTACTCTTTTATGTTTGAAAATTTCACAATAAAAACATTATAAGAGTCAGGGAAGAAAGAAAATTCAGGTCATGTAACCCTTGGCTCAGAACTCTCCTTTGGCTTCTCTCCTCTCTCAGCATGAAAGCCAAAGTCCTAAAGAAAGTCCCTTCCAGGGCTCTCCTGGTGGTGCAGGGGTTAAGAATCCGCCTGCCAATGCAGAGAACACAGGTTCGAGCCCTGGTCCGGGAAGATCTCACATGCCACGGAGCAACTAAGCCCGGGCGTCACAACTGCTGAGCCTGCGCTCTAGAGCCTGCGCTCTAGAGCCCGCGAGCCACAACTACTGAAGCCCACGTGCCTAGAGCCTGTGCTCCACAATGAGAGAAGCCACCGCAATGAGAAGCCCGCGCACCACAACAAAGAGTAACCCCAACCCCCACTCGCCGCAACTAGAGAAAGCCCGCGTGCACAGCAACAAAGATCCAATGCAGCCAAAAATAAATAAATAAAAAAAAGCAAGTCCATTCCAGATCCTGGGATGTGCCCAGAGGGTCCTCCCCCTCTGCCTCCCCACCAGAGCCTGGGGAGACTCTGGTCCCTGCACAGCTGTCCATCCTACCCGCTCAGGGCCACCCTTCCCACCAGACTCTCTCTAAAGTCAAACTACACCCCCAAATTTCAATCCCCCTTTCCTCCTTTTATCCTCCTCTTTATGTACCGTTTATTTCTGTCACATAAAGACGTTCATATGTTACTTATTCTTGCTTATTCTCGGTCTCCCAGAAGACAGTCTCCAGGAGAGCAGGTCCCTTCTCTGCCTGTCACAGTCACATGCAGTGCTGACAACTGGGCCAAGCACTTAGGAGGAACCCCATAAACTTTTTTAATCAACGAAGTTATTAACTGATTAGCCAATCCCAATTTTGCTCCTGATGGATGCTCACATAAGAAAAAATGTTAAGTAATGTCAGTATTCATTACTTTTTAAAAAAATTATCTTTATTTTCAAAATAAATTCACTGAAGTCGATAGGCAGCTGTTTACAGTGTTAGCACTAAATAAAAATGACAGAAAGTGTGTACTCTGAGAGCTGCACTAGATGCCAACAATGACCCCTGCACCGTTAGAGCCCAGAGCCCTGGGCCCTCAATGGTGGTGCTTCCAGTGCCCAAGGAAAGGCAAAAAGATGGCTCTGAAGGATGGAGGTGACCAGGAGACCATTTGCTTTTAAGCAGAGGTGTACCCATCAGTCCAACCACCCAGTAGAGCACTGAAATACTGGGCCTGGAAGGACCAGTCTCATCCAATATTCCTCACTTTAGAATGAAGCTTAAAAGCAGATCCAGTAGCTTCTATCATGCCCTAAGCTGGCAAGACAAAGAGGCAGTACCAGAATCTAGTCTCCTGACCTCTCTGACCTCTACTTTATTACTACACTGACCCGAGTTCCACTTATCCTCAACTCAGGTGGCATCGACTTCCGTGTTATCTGTTCATTCACGTATTTTATACACAATGAGGTACATCATCTCTTTCACATAAAACGACTTTTCTAGCTCTGAGAAAGTTATCTTAAATTCCCATGGAGACCAAAAGAGTGGAAGAAAGTACACGTCCCCTTCTCTGGTAACTTGCCAAAGCACCTAAAGTTCAATGCCCTGCACACAGCAGGTAAGATCATTCACTGGTTTATTAACATCACACACTTGAAATAAAGTTTCTAACAGATTTCTATTTTAATTTTACTTTGTTAAAACTTCATTCCTCCTCTAAAGGAACCAGCTTCCTTAGAGAAAACAGCCCCAACCTGGGGCTTTCAGGGGAGGTGTTAAATAGAGCCCAACATAGCGTGGTCCCAGAAAGCAAGGATGCTTCAAAACACTAATGGGGCTCCAATAAGGGCTCCCTCTACCCAGCATTTAAAAATACATGAGGCCTGACTGAGACTAAAGAGAAAAGGAGGCAGGGTCTTCTTCAGAAATAAAGCCAACTAACAAACACTGAAGAAACAACAGAATTAGAAAAATCAGCATTTTATAAACCATGGATATAACAACTGATTCAGGTGTAGATCATCAAATGGAAAAACAAACCACTGGGTGAAAGGTGGTACTCTAATGACACGGAAGGAAATGTACCTGCACAATACAGAGAGGAGTTTTTACCTTCACTCAGCCTCACTGAGAATGGGCTATGTCTCATGTGAGGCACTAGGACTCTCACAATTATCTGCTATGAAGCATTTTTGTTGAACATGCTTCAACTGAATCAAGTGTGGCCCGATGTCAGTGGTTCTCATGGGGGCGACACTCGGCAGTGTCTGGAGACCTGTGTGATCAAGTGGGTGCCACCTGCACCAAGCAGGTGCAGGGCAAGGATCCTGCTGGACACCCCACAACCA